CTTGGGAGTTGATCCGCATTCTAGGCACAAGCCCGTGCACGTTCCGCGCGTTCACGTGCTTGGTTCAGCGTGCGGAACGATCCGCAGCAATCCGCATTCTAGTAACGCCCAATGTTTTATGACCGCGAATAATTGCAGCTCGAATCCATGATTCGCGGTCATAAAAAAATCAATTAAAAACCATGGAAACTATTAGAGCGTTGCTATGACAATTAAGACCACGTGTTTAGTGTTCAGCTATTCATCTGTTCTTTAGCAGCTATAGTGGAGCTATTCACCAATAGCGAGTCCTTTTCTATCTGTTAACTTCTTGTATGGGCCGTTACCTCAGAGCTCTTTCAGCCTCTTTGCTGCACAAATTGTTGCTGGTCCGCGTGCTGCAGCGCCATAGATATTAGAGTACATAGGGATTGGAAACGGGCCGTAGCAACAGGAAAATGCTAGTTGATAGTACCGTAAATAATTTCTCTAAATACTCGTATATAAAATTAAAAATGGCTGAAAGTTGAAGCAGGTAAGCAAGCTTCTCAGGTGGTTTATTGTTGCATAAAGTCTTATTTTGTGCAGGTAACCCTTCAATAATGTTTAGAGACATTCTTCCTGTTTGCCCAAGCTGTCTGCTGTAGCAATGTATCTGTTTGCAGTTTAAATTCAGTGTTTTATGAATTAGCAATCATTATTGATCACATTTACTATATTTAGTTCTATTTTTTGTTTTGTACAACCTATTGAATAGAAATGGTGTTGACGACCTCCGGTGTGTTCTAAGCAATACAATGGTGTGATAGCTAATGTCACAGACCCTTTGGTTTTTATGTTAAGGGTACAAAACAAACCTCTCAAACTAATCAGTAAATCTATTGTTACAGAAAGATGCAACCGTATTTCCAAACGAAACATAATGGGTGACCTCCACATTATGAATCTCTATTGAGTGGTTGAATAAGTTTTTGTTTTCTGTCTAACACTACTGAGATAAGGGTACAAAACAAAATGTCATTCTAAGCATTCTCATTCCAAAGCAAATATTCTGTGTAAATGATGATGCTAGCAACATAAAAATTAGTCTGGGGATAGATGCCGGTCTCCTCTGCTTCCTTTGATATAAATAATGACGTATAGTGACACCACTGCTGGAATGACAGGTCTCAAAAAGACAGCTCTTGCTCAAAGACAGCCTCCGTTTCTAGGCGTTGCCAGATGCAAATGTCAACTAGCATCCGTATCCTAGCGATGTATACGGAGATGCCCCGTTTCCAATCCCTCTGTACTCTAATATCTATGGCAGCGCTGCGCCATAGATAATAGAGTAAATGAAAGGGATTGGAAACGGAAGCGTGGGCGTAGCCCAACCTCCATTCATTTGTATTGCTGCTAGGCTGACAGAGGCTCGTTGAAATTTTTTGTCACAATTTACCCTTGATTTTCTTTCTTTTAGGAGCAATATCTCGCAAACAAGTGTTCCTATGCAAGTGAAATTAATGCATCAAGTAGCCTAATGTTTCCTCTTTATAATTCTGCTTTCTATTGTACAGATAATTTTACCATGTTAATGTTATGGCACTTTTAAAACCATAAAATGTATTTTTTGTCATTATAATCCCTTTTTTGAAAACAAGCTAGAGTAAAATGCAATATCTTTATAATCATATGAAAGAGTTTCCATTGGCATATCGAATGATACTAGTTAGAGTTAGAATCCATGAAGCATGAGTTTGTTACAACAGAAAAAGGGCGAAAAGTGAAAAAATTTTGTTGTACCTATAACTCGTTGCAAAATAGCGTTGTAGAAGTAAAAACCTTGCTGCAGGTAGTCCAACACTTTCTATATGGAACGGTAGGTATATCATAAGTAAGCGTCCTCTTGGATCTCCATAGATATCCTTCGAAGTCCTTGCAGTACAGCCTCACTAATGGAGGAGATGGGAAATCAACCAGGTTTTGGGCCGGTAACCAATAGCAACATCAACCAGCCTCCGCCCCCGTTTCCAATCCCTTTCATTTACTCTATTATCTATGGCTGCGCTGGTGATAATAAACCACGCCCAAGTCAATAAACACTAACTAGAATGGGTGGACAACTGGTAAAGCAGCTCCAAAGAGCCCAAGGCTTAGTGACACAAGAAGAACAACAGCTCAAGAACACTACAGCAAGGTGCTTTTCTTCACTATTGCGCTATTTTCAATTAAAATAACACCTCAGTTTATATGGTTTTTAATTGAAAAATTTTTTATGACCGTGAATAATTGCAGCCGCGAATATATCCCGACCTACCATAGATACTACATACACACATGGATATGAAACAGGAAGTCGGTATCCAATTAACGCTTTGAAGTTCACCTGTAAACGTCATAGCGTAACCAGCATAGCTCTATCCTTGGCGCTTTTCTCTCTATGTTTTCGAGAATTTTTTTGACTCACTTATTTTTGTGAAAGAAGGTATATAGGTGTTTTTGTTTTGTTCAGTAGACCTAATAAATATATTCTCATTTCATTTTGTCAACAGGCCTCATGTTTACATGACAAAATTAGAAGACCTCCATTTTTATTTGTAACCACCTTTTCTAGACTCTCGAACGGAGTTAGCTAGTAAGTCTTGGAATCATAATAGTGTATTGTTTGTTACATGGACTGAAACTATTCTCGTGTCAATGTAATGAGAAATGACTGAGATAATAGCCAAAAACTAGTTTTTTTAATATTAATTTTGTAACCACCTTTTTGAGACTTCTGCACCAGGTATGAACAAGTTACTACTTTGAGTGTATTCATTAAGGCCTCTTATATAGACTGTTTATGGTTTCATTTTTCTAGACGCTATGTTTCAAAAGTAATAATATATTTTTTGCAAGTGTTTCAAAGGGTGTGGTTTAATTTCCAGTGAGAACTGAGTAGTGAAAGAATAGGTTATTTACCAAGAAACACAAGCAGGATTTCAGTGGCATTGATGA